TCTCTCTCTCTCTCTCTCTCTCTCTCTCTCTCTCTCTCTCTCTCTCTCTCTCTCTCTCTTCATCCACGAGGATGAGCATAATGCCGCCGTCATGTTAAAACGATGACGTATATGACGCTTTAATATCGATCTAAATCGCTTTTCCGAGTCTACAGAATCGTTCGCGTTTTAGCCTGCGGATCCGGCTTGTATTCCGTAGTGGAATGCAATGCATGCGACAAAGCTTTGGATTCGCTCAAGATTCACGCTTTCCCGAGGCCTGCCGCTCGCTTTCGTGCATTTCGTTCACAGATTTCCGCGACGACCCGTGCGCAGCCGTGTATATTCGTTCATTCATTTGGTCGGGTGACCGTTGCTTCGGTGATCTGTGTGGAGCGGAGATTTCGATCCCCCGAGAGTCACGTGTCGAGGGTTACTTCGAACTCTACGCATCGAGAAACAAATTTTTCTTCCGTAATTCGGATATTGATATATCGAGCAGCTTTGCTATTTAGGTTAGTTCTTAGCGCCCCTGGACGGCGCTTTAGACAATTCGCGATATAGGTCAATCGATAAAACGCCTTCCACCTTGTGCCGCCACGAAGGTACGTTCGATCCTTTCCCTTCGCGTGATACGTCCCGTTTCATCTCTCGCAGTCGCATCTCGTCTCGTCGAGGTAATGTCAAGTAGAATGTCCCGCGAGAAAAAGAGAGAGAGAAAGAGAGAGAAATGAGATGAACAATCTGGAATGAAATAATGCAACATCTCAAAATCCTGTTTCTAAAGTTATGTTCCTTTAGTATGAAAAGTACCAAAGGAACATGACTTTGGAAACAGGATTTTTGCACGCACAACATCCAAAAAAAGGTAAAATACATGTGAATATTCAGAAAGATACAAATTTACGTAAATGCATCTGCGAAATTAATCTTGAAACTTTCGAGTCGTTGTATAGAGAAATATAGATTATAGAAAATCTTTCATGTTTTTTGTGAAATTGATCATGAGATCATGTGAGAAGCTCATTGAAGATGATCGAAAAAGGGGGTACCGTAGAGGAAGAATTAATAATCGATATTGACATCATGCATAATTAACATGAGCGATTACTGGACGTTTCACTAACACTTATTGTTGTCCCGACGAGATAAAAACGCAAGATTCGTTTTTGCCGCGCTTTTTGTTGTACTTCCTCCACCCAAGGTGAAGTAAATACAAATTCGCAGTATGAGGAAGAGATAATAGAGCACTGTAGTGCAGTTAAAACGAAAAGACTTCAGCGAGCAAGCTTGTCTCCCCGATAAAACCATTTACGCGTCTAATGAAACTTTCGCTCTGGGTACTCGTGGATTCCACGAAATCATTCTTTATCGCGTAATATGTCAACTGTCATTTATCGCGCTCGCTACGTTCGCAGGAATCGATGACGGTTCGGGGTCGGGACGAGGAGGAGGGGGAAAGAAAGAAAGAGAGGGAGGGGCAGATCGGTCTGTTCGGTGATCCCGGATGAAATTATTATTATGACGGATAACGTTTCTATGACAATCTCTCGCGCCGCCGATAATATCGAGTGTTGCGCGCGCCACGTGGCTCACGTTGGCGGTTAGGTTAACCTGAACCTGACGTACCCAACCTGACGTAAGCACCAGCTCAACCCAACCTTCCTTACGCTATCTCTCGTTCGGAGGCTTCGCGCGCAGTGCCGTAGCGCTTCGACTCGGCGCACTTAGCACGTTCATTAAGTCGCACGAGATCAAAGTCGATTCGGAATCACGTACGTCGAGGCTGCGCCGTATCGTATCGCACCACACTGTACCGCGCGCGATACCGTCCCGCGTCGGGAGAGAGAGAGAGAGAGAAGAAGAATCGGAGATTCGATGGAGTGGGTGGGGTATTAGAGCTGCATACGTCATTCTCCACCGGAAATGACGTACGAGGCCAGGCGCGGCCCGCTGCATTCTGGATCGCGTTCTCTAGGCCATTCTCTCTTCCTGCTCAATCGCGAGTCGGGCAAGGCTAGCATATTGGAATCTGTTTTCGTTGGCGCGACTGTACCTGACTCTTACCCCGATCTCGCTTTTCGCCCGTGCCGAGCCTGGCCCATTGGTTGATTAATGTTGCAACCACGCAGATTTTGCTCGAATTATCTGTCTCTTTTCCTCTTCCGCCTTCTCTCCCTCTTCCTTTCTCTTTCTTTCCATCGAATCTTGGAAAATTGTCCCCAGCAATAAGGAGACTAGTATGATAAGAACCAGCGACGAAGGTTCGTCATACGTAAATTAAATTTTAATTTGGAGCATATGCGAGAGGAATGCTCGGCCCTCGAGTGTCGCGACAATGCCGTCTGCGCGTTTAATTTAGCAGTCTCGTTTCATAAAGACGCACGAAAAATGTTGATTAAGCACACAGCTCGTGAGTGAGTGGTGCTTGCCCCTGAGGTGTCGCTCCTGTACCGTCGCGAATCAATGGCGCAAGCACAGATGGCAGCACGCCATCCCGGTCCCTGCCCACATGTGCAAGATGGCCGCCCGCGAGGTCGGTCCATCAGTGTGTCCACTCACGTTCGAGACTCACTGTCGTTAACGTTATCTCGTCGTAACGACATCTTCGCGAGAAATTTCAAGAAAATCGTGGTGTTCACGAGCAGAACCTGAAGTGCAACTTCGTGTCCCGGGTGTGGTGGCATAACATCGCGTAAGAAGCAACCCATATTTTTCTACGACTTTACGCGTGTCAGCCTTCTTCGCTCGTGTTCTTTTACCTACTCTCTTTCTCTCTCTGTCCCTTGCCCTCTTTGTATCTCTCTCTTTCTCTTCCGTCGTTGCTCGTCCTAACTTTTCGTCGAAACGGAAGAAGTCTGTAGCGATTTTTCACGCCTCTCATGAACCAGACGTCGTAACGAGGAGAAGCCGTTGTCTTCGTGGATAGAATATCGAACAGTGATAACGTGATTGACGGTTTAATTAGCGTAGAAGGAGCCCGGGCGACAGTATTAGGACATGCGCATATTCACCACGTGGTTTGCAAAGTGTTTCTTTGTGTGCTTTTCTACGAGAGCGAGCGCCGAATGGCTCGTCACGGAAAAACGATAGAAAACTTGAAGTGTGGGACACGCGATACGTGCGCGAAAACCTTATCAAGATAGAAGAGTTTTATCGAGGGAGAGGAAGCGAATTCCTCTTACATACTTATCTATGCTGCGTAAGCTTGCGATTAGCGTCGACATTGGCGTTGCTAGCGTCGTTGCTGTTTGCCGTTATTTCGTAAACGTACATATATACTTTAATTTCTGACGAACAAATCGTGCTTGTCACGTTACATTCGCTATTTTCTCTCTCTCTCCCCCCTCCCTCCCCTCTCCCCCCTTCTATCTATCTTATTCGGTGAGTTATAAAATCTTTTTTGTATACGTGGACGTTACGTTGCTAAATTCAAAACTTCTAGATTTTAGAATAATCCAAGATACATCCAGTGCGACGCACTCGCACAGCAATAAGATTAATCAATCTAAACACGATATGATTCATTTCTGTTTCCGTTGTGCATATCGCGCGTAGATGGTCACAAACATTTTTTTCTATTACTTTTTCGTCCTTCAACAAATGATACATTGAATTGATGAGAACCGACAAGGTCTTAACTTAGGTCCTAAGGTTTTTCAGGTAAAGCTGAAAAGAATTTTTGTGCATGGACTTATATACCTGGGATTCGCATATTTTTCGTCACGTTGTTTTTTTGTGTGTTCTCTCTAATTTGTGCATATGGCTGTACATACATACTCAGACATACGTAAATTTGGTAGTAACTTTGTAAATTGATTTAATGTAAAGAATGGATGTTATGATATATGATACTTATATTTATTTCATAAAATGACGAACAGAATAGAAATACGATATGAAAAAAAGAATGATACAAATTTACTGAAAATAATGTCATGCAAAATGTAGTATGAAAATCTAAGAGTAATTTTGATTAAATTTCTTGTTGCATCAATATAACATAGAATTTACATAATTGTATGATATCAATTTAATGTTTAATTCAACACATAATATTTGCTTTATAAATGTGATTAAAATAATTGTTAAGTTTTTATTGTCGATTATATCACGTCGTGATAATCATGGAAGTCTTTCTGTGTAGATTTATCCATTTGTCATCTGTTAAAATCTCTTGGACAACGCGTTCATACATATGTGCGTGCTGCATACAAAAATATACAAATATATGATATGTTAAAAAAAAGAAATCATATGAACTACAGAAACGTCGTACAAAAAAACACGATATTTCATGTCATTTATCGCACATTGCAGCATTGTCCTTGCGATTTGATTTTACAGTTGACTTTTTTATTGTCTTACGTCTATCACGGTATATTGTAAAAGCGAGCGAGCGAGCGAGCGCCGCAACGCGATTATTATTTTTTAATGTCGAATACGAGTCATCACGATTGTGCAATAATCGTGTTACTAGCATGTCCACACGACGACAGTATACGACTACAAGCAATTTAAGATTATTGTACGGCGACTTAACGGTCAATTTGCATTCTTTGTTGCAGGAACAGACTTTCATGTACCTGGACAGAATTACGGCGCCCAACCAGGGGGCCAGGTGGGCGCAGGAGGGGGTAGTGTAGGAGTACCCGGGGGCAGAGGTCCGCCGCTTGGTGGTATACAGACGATAGGACAATCGGCAGCAGGTATACCGCCTGGAGGTCCCGCCGGGGGACAAGCACCTCCGCAAGCACCCGCACCCGGGGTCCAATCACAACCACCACAAGGACCAGCTCAAACAACGACGCCTCCTGTACACACACAGCCCCAGGAGATGGGCAAACAGGCCCATTTACCAACACAGCAATCGATGTCGCAACTTTACGTGCAGCAGACTCCAACAAGACCGACCAATCCAGTACGTAATTGTTATAAATTCCCATTGATTGTACATACATTGTTACTGTAAAAAATCTCGATTTTCTAATATTATGATTTGTGTTTTAATAATTCAAATGGTACCTACACAACTGAAGAATGTATTTTATTTATTACTTATCGCTATATATATTTGTATCTTTAGAACGCATTTTTTCTGGATGCCTCGCAGGGCTATTATACTCCTAGAGCGCCACAACCAAGAGGTCTTAACCATAGAGGAGGCCAAAGCGCCAGTGGCACACCAGTAGTCGGGATGGCTAGCGTAGGTGGTGCCGGGGGACAACCGACTGGCATGTATCCACATTCAGGTGTACAGGTGCCACCAGCCACTATGTATGTGCAAAGTCAGGTGTCAACGATGCAGCATCATCCGCAGCAAACTGTGTATCCTAATCATCTGTCTCTGCAGGTATGAATTTGTATTAATAGCGATTATACATTTCTTATTATATAGACACTTTTTATTATATACAAATATACTTTCGATTGTATTACGAGATATCGAGGAATAAAAATGCAAAAAAGATACAAATTGCTTTATACTTTTTTTTAGTTTGCCGCCGCCGCTGCCGCCCAACCTCAAAGACATCAAACTCATCAAAATACGTCGTTTTACCAATTTCAACATACGCCAATTTTAACGCCAAATGTGTTCGGATATGCCCATGCCCCGAGTCACCAACCTGGATGTAAGATATATATTTCATATTTACGTCACGTTTGCGATGCTCATCGTTCAAACGAGTTACTCAAGTCTTAAGATTCGATCAATAAGAATTCTTTTTGCTCAACAGATTTTTATTCACCGTCGAGCACGATGAGTTTGAGATCAAATGCAAGTGCTGTTAGTGGTGGAGCGCAGCATGTTCCTGGACCTCTAGCTGGTGCCCAAGGTGCTCCGGTTGTGCCGCAAGGTGCACTACAACAACCTGCTCAACAGACGCAGACTTTGCCTCCCATGGGTATACCTTTGACGCAATCTGGTACGTAGCTTGAATCCATTCAACATGTAATTATTCATTATGTTAATTAACACGTTGCACACCATATTGATTCCTTTCTCTCATATTTACATCATGATAATCGCTCTTGTATTTGCTTTGTTGAAAGATGTAACCGAGGATGTCGCATGTCAATTCGTGACACATGATTTTTACCTCGTTTAATTGACTTTTTGTTGGTCGTGCATTTAATCTGGTTTATATAGTTGGTTTTATGAATAAGTTAATATTACATTTTATGAGTAAATTGATAGATCAGTAATGCAGAATATCCGATCATCATGGCGTCTAACGTATTAATTTATTATTAACCCATGGATGACGGCTCACCTTACGATTGACGCCTGACAATTAACGCACAGTGGCAGTTCCATTTGGATAAAGAGTCATTTTATAATAGATTTGTGTTCTTAAATTTTGTGCAGGTTTTTCAATTAGGTTTTTATTTTATTTTATTTTATCATTTGTACTTTGGTCTTATTGTGTATTTTTGTCTCCTATTATAAAAATATCTTAATAGTTTTTTTCTTCTTAAAGAAAAATATTATAAATATTAATATTTTAATAGATGTTACTAATATATATTTCTTTTGAAGAGAGAACGAATTTACAAAGATTTCTTTTTTATAAATTAAAGTAACAAAATTGGAAATATTTATCGATTGATATATATCCGAATGAAACTGGTATCCACTTTGCAAGGGTTACATTCTGGAAAAACGTAATCGCTAAAAAGCGGTTTGTCATGTTTGTGACTTTTACACTCATCTATGGGTGTTATGTTGTTTTTACTTCTAGTTTCGTGGCAAATCAATTCTCGTTTGTTAAAAGATGTGTACGCAGCCCACAACGGTGGTCCAACAAATGCCACTAATAGTACTACCAGATCTCGAAAGCCGAGAGGACAGAATGCTATTCTTGACATAGTTAATCCATTGACTGGAAAAAACATTAGCGATGAAATCTACAAAGATAACGAGACCACACAAAGTGGTGAATCTAGTAATCGCGAGACGCCACAGCCACAGGTGAGTTACGTCAAATTGTTACATATTAACAATTGACTAAGAGAGTTTAAATACATAATAGAGCCATGCCTCGAATAGCTAAACAGAGAGTGTTCATAAAGAATACTCATGGAAAATATTTAAATATCGTGTGAGCATATATATATATATATACATATATATATATATATATATATATATATATATATATATATATATATAAAACTACAAGAAAGAATTCTTGTAGCGTTTCTCTTTCTCTCTCCATCTTTTTCTCTACCTTCTCTCTCTCATAGTCAATTGTGTTTGTACTCGTATCTGTTTATCCGCACGAGCCAAGTCTTCTAACGAATTGTTGAAATAATCGTATTTAGAAGGAAATTTACACCTAGACGGGCTAAAAATGAGATATTTACTAAATCTTCAATCTTCTTGTTTCAAGGAAGTTATAATTAAAGTATTATAGACTTTGTTTCAAAATATATCTATTTAAACTTAAAGTTTTAATCTTATTCCACAAATTATCATTCATTTTTTTAATTAAAAAAGATTAAATGTTTCTAAACGTTTGACATGAGAGAAAAAGTTGGTGTCTATATTTTAAGAATTTGTGAATTATTCTGCAATAATTATTTCAAGTGAACTCTATCTCTAAACCCCTTTACAATAGACACGATTGACTGCCGGATATTATGATAAGAATACATAAAGATATATATTTGAAACAGGAAAAACGTTATTTGATTGAAATTAATTTACTTTAAAGAAATTTTCACTTTTGGCCATCCAAACGTATATCCATCTTTAAACGATTGAAAGGAAAGAGTACTTAAATATAGCATAAGAGACATGTTATATATTCATATATATATATATATATATATGCATATATATATATATATATAT